TGCTGCAAATATAGCTGAAGCTGTGTGCAGTATACTGGACAGTGAAGTCAGCACTGATTGGAAGAAGAAGCTGGTTGCCATCACTACTGATGGAGCATCTGTAATGACAGGAGTAAACAATGGTGTTGTTACAAAACTGTGTGGAGACAGATGTTACGTGCTTGGAATCCTCTGCATGGCCTATAAGCTTGAACTCTCCTTTTCGGCTGGAATAAGGAAGAATGTGATGGTCAGGAAAGTTGAGGACCTTTTGAGTGGACTCTACACCTCATATCATAAGAGTGGCTTAAACAGGGCCAGCCTAAAGGATCACTTCAGGGAGCTCCACCTGAAGCCTTTGATGCCAACCAGAATAGGTGGAACCCAGTGGCTCCCACATTTATTCAATGCACTTGATCATTTTCTCAGGGGATATGTTGGCTTTGTCCACCACTTAGAGGAGAAGGTATGTTAATTCACAGCCAACTAAAACTAGTATACCGTAAATCCTCTAATATTAGCCTGTATTTAATTAACTGCTGGGTATCATATTTTGGCCGGTGTCAGAGTCGGCGGAGGTGAATAATGGCCGGTTTTTTATTGTGGCCGGGTGGAATGTGGTAACAAGCAAGTACCACAGGGGGGCGGTTGTGTCATCCGTCTCACTTTTGATTTGCCAGTGATAGACCGTGAGGGTAACTTTAACCATGCGAACCATTAGTTCATTTTGCTCAAATAGAAATTGAGGCCTGCCTCTAATTCTGGTCCTCCTTCCAATAAAGGCCTGGAGCTTGATGAGCTTGAGTCAAATACAGGCCCGGGTCTGTATTAGAGGATTTACGGTATAGATACAATGTTCTCTAAATCTGATACTCATTATCAATTTTAAATGCTGTCTGTGGCTGTGATATAATTTAGTTTGTTTGTAGTCCCAAAATACCACAAACACCAATGCAGTTCTGAGGGCAAAGGCCAAGGGGTTCCTCAACATAGCCAAGGATGGTGGGGTGCTCAGGTTTTGCTGCCTTCTCGATAACACCCTCTATCAACTGAGCAGCATCTCCAAGTCACTGCAGAGGTCCGTGTCAACCCTGGCTGAAGCTCACAGTTGCCTGTCTTCTACTCAAGCTGTCATTCAAAAGTACAAGTCAAGGTATCCTACATTGTATTCTTTGATTTTAGGTTGTGCTTTCAAATATATACTGTAGATACCTGGATGGATGAAATGACACCCATCAATCTATCTACCCAACTATAAACCTGGGCCTAAGCTGGGACCAGTGCTGGAATTAATCAATTTCCCTCTGGGATTAATAAAGTATTTTTGAATTTGAATTGAATTGAATTGAAACAGACACATATGAGGGAGTTCTCCTGAAGCCTTCTGATGCTGGCCAGCACAACAAGGCAAAGAACGAGTTGATCGATTCTCTGTGTCAATGCATCACTGCGAGATTTAGTGATGTGAACAGTGGTGTCCTGCATGCTATGCGACTGACCAGTTTCCAGTGCTGGCCAGAGGTAGACACGCGTTTCGGTTAGTAATAGACACATCTTGCCAATGCATTTTATGATTTACGACAACTTCTGAGCGTTGTAGAAATGTTTTCCCTTGTTCTCAGATTTTGTGGATGAGGAGATAAACAAGCTCACAAGTCACTCCGACCTCTTCTGCTGTCTGATGGAGTGGATGTGGATTTGATCCCTGATCAATGGACAATTCTTAAGGCTGAACCGTACACAGCAGGATTTAGCCAAGTTATTTCAGTGTTTCCCTTACATAGGCGTAGCCGTGGCGCTGTTTCCCGAAAAGGCAGCGGGAACGACTATATTGTTGCTTGTGATCACAGCCGGCAGGCAGCAAGGAGGAGTAGGCAGGGCAAGGTGAAGTTACAGCATAAGTTACTCAGTTTAAAATTAGAAAGGTAGCAGTGGATATAATGCTTTTTGGTTTACATGTTTCAATAGCATTAAGAGAAATGAGTGTTGACGATCTTGACAGGGTTTCCTCTAGGTGCTTATTAGGCCATGTTTTCCTCCCCCCACCAGGCTAAGCATCACTTATTTATGTAAAATGTATTTTTTCATGTCTGACTTTAACCGCATCTAATACTGTATTACGGCGTGAGCGCAACAGCGACAACTTAAGATCGATGTGTAAGCAGCCTGAGAAGTTGGATGTTTCCATCTGAACCCTTAAAACCTCCAGCAGGCTACGCTGCACTATTGACGTGTTAGCGTGCGGCGCTAACAACTTAGCGATGTGACATGTCTGAGAAAGCGTAAAAACACGTTGGGCGCTTCTTCTGGAGCGGGAAAATAACACTTCTTCTTAAGCAGAGCATTCAATTCAATTCAAAAATACTTTATTAATCCCAGAGGGAAATTGATTGCTGTAGTAGCTCAGAATAATAATAATAATCAAGTCATCAAAGAGTTATTGTATATTACAATGGCTGTTGGCAGGAAGGATCTCCAGTAGCGGTCAGTGTTGCAGCGAAACTCAAGAAGCCTCTGACTGAAGACACTCTTCCGTTGTCGGACAGTCTTGTGAAGAGAATGCTCAGGGTTGTCCATCATTTTCTTGATTCTCTGGAGAATCCTTCTTTGCATCATCTCCTCCAGTGGTTCCACAGTCGTCCCCAGAACAGAACCAGCCTTTTTATTAGGCTGTTGAGCCTTTTCAGGTCCCTGCTTCTGATGCTGCTTCCATGACGTCGCCTCAGCTCGTTTACGGCCGAGCTGGACTGAGCTCGATAACATTGACCCAGCACAGCCACTGGGTCGTTGGAGCTGCCCCGTGACTGCCTGATGGAAAACCAGCGGGTTTCATCAGACTCGTAAAGTTTCTTGTTTTGCTGGGGACCCCCTGTATTTTACCGCTCCCTCCTGCAGTCTTCCCCTATTAAAATTTAAAATGATTCTGTAAATTCTGTGTGTCAATAGAAAAAATCTCTGCCTCTGCCAGCTGCAGTAAATGTAGTCTCCAAATGATAAATAAGTGGTGCATTCATCTGTGTATCTCCTTTGATCCGCATTAGTGATATTTTCAGCACCAGAACAGTGAAGCAAAGAAACAGATTCCTGAGTTTATGTTAGTAAATTTATTTTTTTAGGCGCATCTGACCTGTTCTACTTTTCTCTGAAATGAGATCAAATCAGTGCTTCTATGGGTTGTCTCCTCTCTGCACTAGAACATTTTACTTTATTTATAATTAAATATATTTATACTGTTCACTGTAATTCATCTTGATGTTCTTAACAAATAAATTAAATCAAAGATATTGGTCAATAATGCCAAATGTGTACATTTCTGTTTCAGTCATTTTTATACTGGCTTAAAAATACTTCATTAAGTCTACTAAGCAGGGGTGTAGAACGTTTTTAATAGGGCCAGCCCAGTAATGATATTGGACCAATTTAAAGGAGGTAGAAATTCATGTTAGCTTGAACAAGTAATGTATCTACTCACTGTGCATGTGTTAATCCAGCATGGGTTTCAATTTCAGATGAGCCTGCTCAAGTATTTTTCAAAGAAACGAAAGGCAGACGAAGATAGCTCTGGTCAGGTAAAAGAACCAGTGCCACACATCATGCAGGGTATGTTGTCAAATAATGTAGGCTAACTGATCTTATATTCAAAAAATTAAGCAATACAACATGAGTGTGAACACTATTACTTTTATACAGAAATTCAACAATAGCTTATAGGGGAACAACCTCAACCTTATTTCCAGTTTGAAATACATTTATTTACTCACCAAGATAACATATGTGCTATTTGATCGGTAGATGATTTGAATCTATGGGTTGCTTGTAATTATATTTAAGATCCAGCTGGGGTCGGTAGACCAAGCTGGTAGCAGCACAATTTTGGCACAATATCAACACAGTTTGGGCAATGTGATGAAATGCTTCATGAGGCCTCATCTACCCATCACTACTATGGTCCATGCAAGGTCTGAGCAGAACCTTCACTCTGTGCTCTGCAATGGTAAAAATCAAGCAAGTAATTGCTGACAGGCAGGAGAGGAGTTAGATGCAGCAGACACAGGGGAAGGAACAGGGATACAGAGTGGTGAAAAAGTAACAGAACCAAGTGGTGTTAATGGAGTGGGAGCAGAGCCGGATTAAATGAATACACTACACTAGGCAGGCTGTAACAGAGCAAATATGTTTCTCTTATTTGCTCTGTTTACATTTAATCGCTACATTTAATTACAAATATTTTCTGCAAAATACAATAGCTTGCAACATTTATAAATGATGACAAATTAATCACATGATAGTGGAAAGACATTCAAGAATAAATAGATTAATTTGAATGGACTGAAGCATGTTTTAAAGGCTCGAAACCAAACTATAAACACGCAGCCTAAACTTTTACAGTATAAATTTTATACAATCTATAATCTTAAAAGAAAGTATTTTAATAAAATGAAAACATTATCTTAAGTTTTGATCTTGCTTTATGCTCATTCAGGCTGTTTTTGCCTCTGCTGAATCTGAAATTCTGTGTGAATTTTCTGAATGTGAACTTATTGTTTGTTTTGCTATTTGAACATTAATAAAAAATATTTAAAAATAAAAATTTATAAAACCAGCAACACTTACCAAGGAAACCATTTAGCATGCTCCACTCCGGGATAATCTCTAATAGCTATCGCGTTTAATGCGTGCCACAACCCGTGCACGCGCATTGGGTCCACAGCGCGCGTGTGAACGGGACTCGCGAGCGAAAATATACATGGCGAGAGGTCATTTGTGCACTGAGAGGGAGCAACCTGTGTCTGTGAGCGCACAAGTGACAAACCTGCGTGCGCGCGTTGTCAACGACCACACGGCAGAGGAAAACGTGCGCGCGCGGCAGCCTCTCTGCGCGCTCGCCAGCCTCTCTGCGCGCTCGGCAGTAAAGGGGTTTTGGCACTCTGGAGGCGTGGCCTGTGGCAGATCTTCTCTGTCCTCTGATTGGTTAGTTTTTCCCGCACTTCACCCTCTACCTCATTGGCCGATCTTCTCTGTCCTGTGATTGGTCATATTTTGTACCTTTCTCCGTGCCTTTTAGTTCAGCCAGAAGCTCAGCCAGGATGTCGAAGGATTCAGAGGTAAAGTAAAAAATGACTTACGAAAGTGTCCAGGTTAAACCTAAAAGTCACCACGGCAGCTCGGTTCTATCTTAAACGTTGTTGTCAAAAGTGCCTTATATGTGCTATCACAAATTCGTTCCTTTTTCACCGCCATTAACGTAACGTATTGTCTCCGCATATATCGTTTTGTCTTATAAATCTCTTCAGTTTTGCCTTCATTAGAATTTTAGCAGGGAAACCTTTGTGATAATATTACTTTGGGCCCACAATGACAGGGAGAATTGCAGGAAGCTGCTCGGCGTGTGGTGTCCCTGTTGCAGAATGCCCTTTCTGACCCAACATCATCTAGAGCCAGTGAGAACTGTTGCTTTTATTTTGATTTTGCCCACAAAGTTATAACATAAAGCATATGTTGTATTTAACAATTGAGAGTATGATTTTGCTCTGTCTGAAATAATAACAATCTGCAGACCAGGGAAACACAGGAGGACAAGGAGTTCAGCAGCAGAGTAACACTGTAGAACAGAGCATGGCAAGGTTTGTTACTCTGAGGCATTAGTGTTTCACAGTATTAATATTATGATTATTATTATCGTTATTAACAATTTTATAAACCTTTCAGGTGTAATAAATGGGTTTACCATAGTTAGGCTGTCCCATTTATGCATTTTGCTGATTGGCATTTGTTTTATTTTCAATCTTCTACAGATCATTTCCAGGAATATTTGGAAAAAAAAATTTTGGGAAAAAGCGAACCTCTTCATGTGCTGTAAAAGGGTGTCTCAATCCTGTCAAGTCGTTTCCAGTACAATTTTACTTGGTCAACAAAAAGATGGAGACAACACCTAAAGTTTCTGATGAGCTGAAACTTCTTCAGGCAGGGATGGGTCGGCGAACAATCAACATCACGGAGGATGCTGACCATTCATGGGTAAATACGTATAATAGAAAATTATAAGTGATATTAACTGCTGTGCACATTATCCAAATAATGAAACATTATTTTATTTGTTTGTTTCATAGGTTACAATGTATGAAATGTTCTTTAGGAATCTGTTTTTTTTATGTGTGAGGCAAAAGATTTCACATCACATCAATTATTTATAGCTTTCCAGAAAATTGGAGGATGCATACTCTCAATTAGCAGCCTTAAAAGGAGCATGGATGTTATACAAGGCAGTTGGTAAGAAATGACAAATATAACCAGTACAGGCCCAAAGTTTGGACACCAACATGTTATTTTATTCAAAATAGCCACCGGGGTTTTTCCTGGCTCAAATTGAGGTAGAGATGGTACCATCCTGACCGTGCGCCAGCACATGCGCACTCTGTGAATTAAACTGCCTCACTTTTTTAAATGCCAAATATTTATTCGTTAAGTGTTCTAATCTAAGCTTCTGTTTATTAATAGAATATTCCATTTGACAATGTTTGAAATGAAAAAAAAAACTGGTTTGCTGCTAAAAATATGAAATCAAACAACAAAATTATCAGACTGAATTAAAAGACTCTTATTATGAAATGCTCAATAATATGCATTAGATTAGTGTTTATTTCCCTTTTTCCCATCTGCTATTTATAGTTAAAATATTTATATATATTTGACCTACATATCAGTAACATGTTAGATTTGTATTAACACTCATCTTAGTCAAAATGACACATAAATATATCCAGTAAAATATAATGCATTTCATTAACATGCATTTGTGTTTGTTGAGGGGGCATGGGAGTTTGCCCAACCAATCCACATGTGTTTTGTGTATTTGGAGAAGGCTTATGACCGTGTCCCCAGGGTCACCCTGTGGGGGACGCTCCAGGAGTACGGGGTGGGTGGCTTTCTGTTAAGGGCCATGCAGTCCCTTTACCAGAGGAGCGTGAGTTTGGTCCACATAGCTGGTAGTAAGTCGGACCTGTTCCCGGTGAGGGTTGGACTCCGCCAGGGCTGCCCGTTGTCACCGGTTCTGTTCATTACCTTTATGGACAGAATTTCTAGGCACAGCCGTGGTGTGGAGTGTGTCAGGTTTGGTGGCAGGAGAATCTCGTCTCTGCTTTTTGCGGATGATGTGGTCCTTCTTTGCTTCATCCAGCTCTGACCTTCAGCTCTTGCTGGGTAGGTTCGCAGCTGAGTGTGAAGCGGCTGGGAGGAGGATCAGCACCTCCAAATCTGAGATCATGGTTCTCGACCAGAAAAGGGTGACTTGCCAACTCCGGGTCGGGGGAGAGGTCCTACCTCAAGTGGAGGAGTTTAAGTATCTCGGGGTCTTGTTCACGAGTGAGGGTAGGAGGGATCGGGAGATCGACAGGCGGATTGGTTCGGCGTCTGCAGTGATGCAGACGCTGAGCCGATCTGTCGAGGTGAAGAGGGAGCTGAGCCAGAAAGCCAGGCTCTCGATTTACCGGTCGATCTACGTCCCAATCCTCACTTATGGTCATGAGCTTTGGGTAATGACCGAAAGAACGAGGTCGCGGATACAAGCGGCCGAAATGAGTTTCCTCCGTAGGGTGGCCGGGCTCAGCCTTAGAGATAGCTTGAGGAGCTCGGACATCCGGGAGGGACTCGGAGTAGAACCGCTGCTCCTCTGGATCGAAAGGAGTTAGTTGAGGTGGTTTGGGCATCTGGTCAGGATGCCTCCTGGACGCCTCCCTGGGGAGGTGTTTCGGGCATGTCCTGCCGGCAGGAGGTCCCCGGGTCGACCCAGGACACGTTGGAGAGGTTACATCTCCAATCTGGTCCGGGAACGCCTTGGGGTCCTGCCGGAGGAGCTGGTGGAGAAGGCCGGGGAGAGGACGGTCTGGAGCTCCCTAGTTGGGATGCTGCCCCCGCGACCCAGATAAGTGGAGGAAGACGACGACAATGGCATTTGTGTTTGAAATGGTAATAACATTTTATTTCTGCTGCTAACAATGTAATGGTGGCATGTCTATTATGTACGGGTTGGCAATAATCCAGTTTAAATTATGTTCAAAGATAGAAGCGTTTGTGAATTTTATATTACAACAGGTTGTCGTACTTCCTGCTCCTGTGTGACTCGTAACTGCAGCGGTTCAGATCTGTAGCGCTGCAGGATGCAGAATAAACAGGATGGTGGGGACTTTTCATCCGCTTGTAGAGTTTAGTCTTTCTTTGTTTTACGATCATCATATTTTTCTGTGCGCCACTTGATCGTGAGACTGCTACCCCTTAGCTTTAGCATTAGCCAACATGCATGTAGCTGCACTTTTGATCCCAAACTTTGGACCGGTTCTGTCTTTGTGCCTTTGCTGGTTCCTTTATTTTCCTCCACTGCATCCAGATGATCACACTGTTTGCCAGTAAAAAGCATTTTTCCTATACGTAACTTACTTTTGTTCAATAAAGTTCTGGGGAAAGGAGAAATTCAAAGCCGTACGTTTAAAAATAGACAGACACGCACAGACACCACTGTACAGCCCTGCTCTGATGTGGAAGAGCCTAGGGGGAAATCAGGACGTCAATAGCACCAATCATAGATATGTACCAACTAGCGAAAAAAGCAATTTTTGATCTTTTTCTGCAGCGATTTAAGTGCTTTTCAGTGCACCGCTGCTGATACAGCGCCCTGTAGTGGCACAACGCTGCAACTGCAGGTAAAATAACATCATATAGCTGGGGGCAGAGTGAAATCAGGCTGGGGCGCACAAAAATAGCTGGAGGCGGCCGCCAGCAACTTTGAATGCAGGAAAAACCCTGGCCACCCATTGCTCCGAATACTGCGTTGCACACTCTTGGCATTTTCTCCATGAGCTTCAAGATGTATTCACCTGAAATATGTGTGGGTTCTCTCCGGGTACTCCGGCTTCCTCCCACAGTCCAAAAACATGCCTGTTGGGTTGACTGGTCTGTCTAAATTGTCCTTAGGTGTGATTGTGTGTGTGCATGATTGTTTGTCCTGTGTGTCTCTGTGTTGCCCTGCGATGGACTGGCTCTCTGTCCAGGGTGTACCCCGCCTACTTGCCCGTTGACCCCCCGTGACACTGCGTGGACAAGCGGGTTCAGAAAATGAATGGGTGGATGTTTTTGAAAAGCTTTGATGCCTACTGTGAGAATTTACCAATATTGAATGATAAGGTGTCTCCAAAATTTTGGCCTGTACTGTATATTACTTTTTACACCATGTAATTAATTATTTTCTTCCCCTATGAAATACCGAAAAAATTAACCAATATAATATGTACTTTCTGGTAGGTGGCTCTGGACGAAGAAAATTATGCATTGTACCACCTGAAGCTGACGGCTATACAGGAGCTTACCTCAGTACAGTTGGACGTGGGAAGTCAACACTGTACATTGTCCCTGTCCAAGGAACTATCGATATGTCACCCCTTCCTTACTCTGCAAAAGAGTTTGAAAAAATGCCCAAAGCACCTTGTCAGACATGTTCAGTAAACATGCCAATCCAGTTACTGGCTGCCCATGTAGAAAGCTGTAAAAATGAAAGTCTTTCAATCAGTACATATGAAGAGGTAAAATAAATTTATTCTGAGTTAGAATTATACAATTTAAATATTCTATATTGCACAGTAGAAATATTAATTTAGATGCTTTGTTTCAGATTGAAGACTTTCAGGAATCAGCAGAAAGCACACATGCCTTTGATGTGCTTGGGGATAATGCCTCTGACACTCCAGAAAGTGTCATGTCTATGAAAGTGAGTAGTTTATCTTTAATTGTAATTATTCCTTAAGATGCCTATGGTACCAGAAAAATGAATACAAATGTCTACATGTTCTTTTCTTGACTGTCATATTTATTTTCCTTGCTAAATATTCTTCAAATCCAGATGTTAATTTATTTGACATGTTTCTTCAGGGAAAATCAAGTTCATAATATCCATCTGATGTTACAGTGTTGGTATACCCCACAGACAACAACCAAAAAAAAAGTTACAATATAAACATTTTCTTCCAGCAAAGATTTTGACGTTTATAAATAGTTTGGATTGTGGAAACACAGTTATGTCCTTGTTTTCTGAAGTGAAATATAGCTTTATCAGGGTTTAATGTTCTTGGTACATTTACAGGTTTTACACAGTAACACTAACAACACCACACGTTAACCCTGGTTTCACACTGAAAGCATCTGCATCGCGCAACAGCAGCGGAACATGACTGCTAAAAATACAATCCATTAAAGTCTATGGAGTGATTCAAACCAGCTGCAACGCCCCTGTTTTCAGAAATGTCCCAGAAGTGGCAAGCCACGCTGCAAAACATGTGATCGGGTTCTATTTTTGCCACAAGCCACTTCTGGAACACGTTAATTTCCACAGTTAACATAGGACTAGACAGGAAATCACACATGGTTTTATTTTAAATTCACCAGTAAATTTTTAAATAAAAGTAGTGCTGCAATGAAATTTACTATATATGTAGCTTACATGTGACCAAACGGCTTATTTACTCCCATTATCTTTCCAGAAGTGCAGCGGTGTGTTTTTCATAGCTTTAAACCTGGAGATGGAGAGTGAAAATATATATCTCTCATATAAGCTCTTTCATATATTATTATAAGCTCTTTTATATGATTAAATATGTATCTCTCACTTTTGCCCCTTATATATTATCATAAATACATTATTATATGCCTTTTCATGGAATCTTGTTATAATATCAAAGACCTCTCTGTGCCTTTTCTGCTCAAGCTGAACAGCTGCATAAGGGAGTGAAAGCGTTCCTTCCTTCAGTTCCTCAATACAAGAACAACTGTCTTTGTTAGCAAAGGATGTTGCAGGATGTGTCCTGATCATCTCAAGGTTGCATGTCCTTGGGATGAATTGGTCTTTCATTAACAAGGCTATTAGCTGACGTGCGTCTGCAGGTGCAGATGGCAGAATTACGTGTGTGTATGGCAAACTACGTATGTAACATTCCTGTAATCTTCAATAAAAATCAGCCGTTTTCAGCAGAACGGCGAGAGTCTGTCCGAAGCATCTGGCAAGAGCAGGTCGCGGGACTTGCTGCAGAGACTCTCCCCCTCATGAGCGGCGAAACAGTGAATGGACTTCTGATCATTTGTCTCCTCGTTCTGACAACTTTAAAGGTGTTTAACTCCATCTACTCCGTACCCGTGCTTGGTCTAACGGAAGAGAGACCAACAAATTTGGCGTCACGAACAGGATTTTTTCTTTTTGAAGAAAAAGGAGTTTTTGGAGGATGATTCGACCTACTGACCCAGCGAACGATCTTGGCACAGAACACCGCGGTGGAAAACAAGGTGAGCAGAGCCTATTATCTAAAATCTGCTCATTGGATTTATCCAAAGCCTTTGTGTCCAGAATCATAGTAGCTGTGGTCCTAAAATAATAGTTGGAGAAGAAAGTGGAGACAAGTGCAGAAAGAATAAGAGATTTTTTTGTAATGGTTTAATGGTGAAATGAAATGAGGATTTTCTAATGATTTAATGAGTAAATGAGAAAAGGAAATAGTACAGAAAAAAGGGGTTGGAGGCCCAGAGCATTAATAAGCTCTAAATTCCATAGGGGTTGGAGGCCCAGAGCATTAATAAGCTCTAAATTCCATTTAAAGAAGGGTTGGAGGCCCAGAGCATTAATAAGCTCTAAATTCCATTTAAAGAAGGGTTGGAGGCCCAGGACAAGGTCCTAAATTCCATTTCCAGGTCGTGGCTGACCACACTATTTGCTGACGAGCGGATAGAATATATAACGAGGTTATATAAAGCTTGGCTGGATCCATAGGTGTGGGAACCCTAAAAGTCCACAGGTCAGGGACCTGGTTTTTGTGTTAAGGGAAGGGGAGGCTAATGAGAGCTCCCTGGATTTTAAAGGTCAAGGGCCTTTTGCATGAGATGAGAAAAATGTTCTGAGGTAACTGTTTTTGCATAAGATGATAAATGTTTTGACTGCTTCTGTGTGAAGAGAGCAGTGCTTTTGGCTATTTCTGCGTGCTTTTGGCTGTTTTTGCATAAAATGAGCAATGTTTAAATATGACAAGCAGCCCAGTTGAAGCCACGAGAAATAAGGTTTTATTGAGAAAGTCAGCGGAAGAGGCGATGAAGAAAAAAGGGGTAGATGTTAACAGTAGAGGTAACTGGAGCAAGATTTGGGAAGTGAAGGCTGCAGAATCAAGAGGAAAAAGGCACAGCTGTAGACAAGCTTCACTGTGTGTGTAAGCTGAGTTCAGCCTGTGTGTGTGAGGCGCAGCAAGAGGCTGCTTACGGCTCTGGATTGAAAGTGCAGCACTAGGAGAGTGCAGAATGCAGAGCAGAGTTTTGGGAGCTCCGTGTGTGTGTGTGTGTGTACAGCGCTGGGGGTGTGTGTGAAGGCCTGATGCGGTACCAGAAAATAAATAAATAAGATAAATAAGAGCTTTAAAAAGTTGCAACTCGTATATGTAAATTACACTGCAGTGCTAAAATTAATGTTTGGAGCTACGCAAAATTCAAATTCTGCAACCCTGTTCTGATCAGTCTTTGAACAGAACACCATAAGTTAATAAATAAAAGGTTTTTAAAGTAACATATGCATATGTATGTGTGTATGTATGTATATGTGTATACATATATATACATATGTAGTGTAGAAGCGTGATAATCATTTGTGTGTGGGGCAGCATGTGAGTGACCCCGATCTGGGGGTTAAGTGACCTGGAGATGAAATAAGGGAAAAAACCACCAAGAAACGCAAGTAAGGATGTAAATGACAGCTTTATTTTAGAAATATAGTCATATAGCTGCTAAACAGTAAAATCAAAACAGATCTGCAGAAAATAAATATATAAACTATTCCTCAGAGTGCTCTTAAAAAAAAAAAAATTGCAATTGGATTTGCTCTAATGTTACATAAGTCCTGCTTAAAAGCATAGTAAGCAATAAATTTTGAAAATAACCAGTGCAGTGTTAAATAAATTCTGTGCTTAAAATATTATATATATATAGAGAGAGAATAAATAAGTGACGAACTGACTTACTTTAAAAAAAAAAAAAAAAAGGACTGTGACAAACAAAGAATGTCGTCTGTGCCATGTGAATGAGTGGATGCGTGTCTTCTTGCATGAGCTGCTTTCGCTGGATCTTCTGAATGACTCAGTTTTTAATAGAGGGAGCAGCTGCTTGAGAAACGATGCGGTCCATGTTTTTACTAGACGGTTATTTAGTTCGAGAGACTGTGGAAACAATAGAAAAAGAATTTATCGTTAGTGTGAGGACAAGAAAATCCTTTAAAATACAAAAGTTGTATGGTTGTGGTTATAAAGGAAGTATTTTGTCTGATTATGGGCCGTGGAGTCAGCTGGACTCCCTCGCTCTCACAGTTTTTCTGTGTAACATGCAGTTTTAAGCAATTTGTGACTTTAGAAAGGATATTTTTCGGTGTTTTGGACGTACCTTAAGGCTTCTGGTTAGGGTATTCAGGAGATCCTTCCTCTCGGACAGATCTAGTGAGAATGACTGGAGTTTCAGCCTGGGGACCTGACTCCACCCACTTTTACACACAAGAGTCCCGTGGTCTAAAAATAGCACAGGGTGCTGCGAAAAGCAGCTCTGAACCTCTCAGGATCATCTTTATGAAAACCATAAAATTAACAAATAATCAGTAAGGAAATAAAATATTTGTTAAATCTTGCTATAAAACAAAATCCAATAATTGTCTTGCCTCAACTTTAAGAACCATTAACGTTAATGGCTGGATTTTGAGATGCTGAATAATGAAAAAACAGATAAACTAAGTATTATTTCCTGTAACCTGGCTAGAAACTGTACTAGGCTGTTTTGAGTTAAAAACTGGTAGTTATTTTCCCAAAATAAAATAGATAAATAAAAAATGAAAGGAGGGATCTTGCATTTGGGATAGATTGTGCCTAAAGTTTAAAACCTGTGTAGAACCGATTTGACGATTCGGAAAAATTGTGCATAGGAAGTAGTCTAGATTTACCTTTGAGTCAATAAAGTCGACTAAATATTAGAAACCATCGTTGATTTTGATTTGTAAAAGAGAAAGTTCTGTCATTTCAACTCAATCAACATATTTAAGGAAAACGTTTGCTGTGCATTGTGGAGGCATGAACTTTACTGGGTGGGCCTGTCACAACCAGCTGCAAAGAATGTTTGGCTCTGACTTCTATACAAAGAGAACCTGGAAGCCCTCACCAAAAGCTGTGACTCATAACATAAAGACGGGGAGCACTACAAGATGGACAAAGAGGCAGAAACTTATTTGCCCTGCTGCTGATGAAACAAAGTACAAAAGGGGGAGCATGTGTGCTAACATGTGAACTTTAATCAATGACGGTGGTCATCCTGGACTTACAAAGAGAGGCTCAAAAGAGACTGTTTCCTATGGTTACACCCAGTAAAAGAGTGCTTGCTGCAGTCAGGTAATGAACAAGGCTTTTTGGCAACAACCAGTTGAATTGATGAAATGTCAGAACTGTGGAAAATTTACTAAACTACTGTAGAACATAGTTAACTGAGAAAGTTAGCCTAAAAAAAAGATAATAATAATATCAATAAATAAATAAATAATAGGATTAGTAACCTGGATTTCAGCCCAACTCACCATTGGACGTCAATATAATCTTTATTGTCCTAGGATTCTCAGCTGCAGCGGACATGCAGTAAAGCCTTATTTTCTTTTCAAAACGGAATACATCAGCGTCATCACTTATCTTCATTAGTTAAGGAAACGGTGTCTATTTATAAGTCTAGGAGAACGCTTTAGGCTTCAACAGTTCTCTCCTTCGAGCAAACATGCGCAAATTTCCGGATAGTTTATAGTAACGTTCCATCCCATTCCATTCATTGCATAAAAATAAACATTAAATGAATAATTTGGCATCCAGCTGACTAAATGATTCATGGAACATCTCATCCGAGACAACAGTGTTGTTTCAGCTCCGTTGAGTTTCCCAACAGATCTAGCCAAACCTAGCTGATCCTATATTTTTCTATCAGCTGTAAGTTCTAACGTAGAAAATAATGTCACAAAAATATTGAATAATTGTACCCCTCATTCGATAAAAATTATGTTCACATTTTTATCTTGTGAAATCTTTAACATAATATTTTTAATTGGCCTTTTTGACGACAATTGGCTAAAAAGTCTTTAAGATTATCATCACAGGATGGCATGATAAATAAGTAAATAACATAAATAAATAAATAGACAAAAATAAGAGAGAAAAAGCAAAATTAATTAAATGAAACGTAATAGTGATAAAACGTTAAATTGATCTAAAATCTGTCATTCAGTGCCACTGGAAAAAGGAAGAGGATAGGGGAGTATTTCTTAGCACAAATCACGTTATTGATTTAGCAATGCAGCTTAATTTCAGATGCTTTAAGGATGATACTAACTTGTGTTATAGATGGAGGAGTAGCACAGAAACACTTCTAGATGAGGAGATAAGGAAAAAAACTGCTGATTACCAATACTATGCACAAACAAACCTGTAACTGCAGTTTCGTTATTTATGAATTAACCTTAAGTAGTGAATTAATTCTTAGGATTTCTTGTGCGAGTAGTGTTCCTAAAAAAGAAAAAAAGAAAGAAAGAAAGAAAGAAAGAAGGTAAGAAAGACAGGTAGTTTAGGTAAGGGACAACCTGAAACTTTTTGGTTGAATTGATAGTAAAGTGATTGTCCTAATTTCTAATTGGAGAGATCACATCGCAACGTGAGTTTAGAACAGCAGTTATGGGAAGTTTTGTTGGATTAATTTGATTACACGCTTTAGGTCTTATTTTTTCTTTCCACTGATTTAGCGTTAGGTTAAGTATTTCACACTTTCGCTTCAGTCTGACATTTGCTTGGTGTGTGAGGGCACAGAGACGTGTATGGACCGTGTGTTTGACTGTGTTTGTCTTGTTTGTTTGCTTATTTATCTATATGGGCGTGGCTGAGCCTTGAGAAACATCAACAAAGACATTGGACTATTCTGAGTAAATTAACCAATTCAAATTCAAATTCAGGATCCTGAAACAATTTGGTTATAACCTCTAATTGATGAAGGACATCTTAAGAATTCATTGTACAAGGCATCATCTCCAGTGTTGCTGGAACTGTTATAAAACCCATGCATGGTTGTATATTTTAGTTTGATCATTTATACTCATTGAATTATTGTTGTTTGCTTTATGTTTTAATTTCTTTGCAATTTTTTCTCTGTGACACAGGTGGAGATGCTGGTGGCAAAATGGATCCCACACATTTCTTTCTCCCACACACATTCTTACTCTCTCCCTCTCTCTCTGTGTATGTGCATGTGTATGTGTTTGTGTGTCTGTGTGTCCATGTCGTGATGTCACTGTACCTTTAATTGCGCTTGCTGTTCGTAACTGTATGTGTCTGATGTTGAAGGTATCAGAGGCTAGGGTCAGTAAGAGCTAGGACATTTTTGTGCATAACCTCTAATCCCTAGGCGATCGGTCCGGGGAACTTCTGGTCCGGCCGGAGTGTGAATCTTCCTACCAACTATCTGCCGAGATCAAGGACTGCACAAGCCGAGAAAGCCTTCATTGGACCAAAACTACACACACGAAGAGGCTTCGTCTTCGGTGCCAGGCGTCTGGGTCCTGCTAAAAGTCACCAAAAGGAAGTGGACGGAACCGAGGTGGACCGAGCCATACAGGATCACGGAGAGGACGTCACACGCTGTCCGGCTGGACGGGAGGAGCCTAACCTGGAAGAGAAGCAGCTGACATCTGCCTAACCAGAGAAAGGATCCAAAAACCAGGAAGAGAAGTAGCTGACTGCAGTAGCGTGCCAAGCTACCACCACATCCTGCAGGACGAGAATCTTGACATCATCACCCCCTGCAGCTGCCTGGAGCCAGTGAAGGGTCCTCAACAGGGGGAAGAAGTAACCACCCTATGAACATTCTACAAGGGTTGTATTTAACACCCTCATTTATTTTAACAAGGGTAATATTTTACACCCTCCACCTGCTGACCCAATTATCCAGATGCCCTTGTTACTAGCCAATCCTAACATCTATTTGGGAGGGGAACTCTCTGATGATAGTGATGACTCTCATGATGAAGAAGATGTTAGAGTGTGAGAATGTTCAGTGATTTATGTAACCATCCCTTCACCAGTTCATTTTTATGATTTTTTTGTTTGTTTTGTTTTATTTTTTGTTGATCATTGATGTCCTAGGCATGCACACTCTATGCCAACAGGTGTTCGCCCCAAAATTGAGATATGACAAATGGGGGGACATGGGGGAATTTTCCCTATAAACATATGATAATTAGGGTTTTTCGCCCTCATATGGAGTTGCATGCGATCCATACATGTTGTAACATGTTCTGTTGAAAGTATGATCATGTTTTTTGTATTAGTTTACTGCTAGAAAGATGAGTAAATGTAATCTGATTGGTTGTTTGTATTGGTATTTTAAAACTTTGCTTATTGGATTCTTTTTGATGGAATTTGGTGTTATTGTTTTGATTTCTTATATCTTTATTGAACTCTTAAAAGAGTTCAAAAGGGGGATTGAAAATATATATCTCTCATATAAGCTCTTTCATATATTATTATAAGCTCTTTTATATGATTAAATATGTATCTCTCACTTTTGCCCCTTATATATTATCATAAATACATTATTATATGCCTTTTCATGGAATCTTGTTATAATATCAAAGACCTCTCTGTGCCTTTTCTGCTCAAGCTGAACAGCTGCATAAGGGAGTGAAAGCGTTCCTTCCTTCAGTTCCTCAATACAAGAACAACTGTCTTTGTTAGCAAAGGATGTTGCAGGATGTGTCCTGATCATCTCAAGGTTGCATGTCCTTGGGATGAATTGGTCTTTCATTAACAAGGCTATTAGCTGACGTGCGTCTGCAGGTGCAGATGGCAGAATTACGTGTGTGTATGGCAAACTACGTATGTAACATTCCTGTAATCTTCAATAAAAATCAGCCGTTTTCAGCAGAACGGCGAGAGTCTGTCCGAAGCATCTGGCAAGAGCAGGTCGCGGGACTTGCTGCAGAGACTCTCCCCCTCATGAGCGGCGAAACAGTGAATGGACTTCTGATCATTTGTCTCCTCGTTCTGACAACTTTAAAGGTGTTTAACTCCATCTACTCCGTACCCGTGCTTGGTCTAACGGAAGAGAGACCAACAAGAGGAACATTACAGGGAGTGCAGAATTATTAGGCAAATGAGTATTTTGTCCACATCATCCTCTTCATGTATGTTGTCTTACCCCGGGTTTCCACAGGAGCCGTCAGCAGCACGTTATTGCAGCAGCACGTCTTGCTCGCGTAAACTGCTGCTTGGCCCTTCCCACGAGACGCGAAGCAGCAGGGGTGCAGCTGTCACCGACAGAGCACGAATTCACACGAGTGACTTCGTTAGTAAAGACAAGCAGGAGAAAATTACAACATGGTTTGTGTTTTATGTTCTGTCCGTTTTATAATCGCCAATACGGACCTGAAAAACAAAGGAGACCGCTAGCTAGGTGATAACTTCTCACGGGGCCACAGTTAGTAACCTTTTTTAAAAGTAAAGCAACCGGAAAGCAGTACGTTCTTTATTCTGAAAATCTCGGTAGCTTCTCTCAATTTCCGCGTCCGATTTCCTGTCTTTCCTTCCCCAAAAATGTCGAACTTGACCCGTTTCAGAGGCGTCGCGCGTAGAAAATAGAACCGGCGCGTAAAGGCCGCGACATGCTGCTCCTGAGACGCGGCCGACTCGCGCTGCTGACGGCTCCGGTGGAAAAGGTTCTGTTGACCACAGCGGTTCCTATCAGCAGCTATGACGTGCTGCTGCAGTAACGTGCTGCTGACGGCTCCTGTGGAAAGCCGGGGTTACTCCAAGCTGTATAGGCTCAAAAGCCTACTACCAGTTAAGCATATCAGGTGATGTGCATCTCTGTAATGAGAAGGGGTGTGGTCTAATGACATCAACACCCTATATCAGGTGTGCATAATTATTTGGCAACTTCCTTTCTTTTGGCTAAATGGGTCAAAAGAAGGAATGGCAGACTCAGAAAAGTCAAAAATAGTGAGATATCTTGCAGAGGGATGCAGCAGTCTTAAAATTGCAAAGCTTCTGAAGCGTGACCATCGAACAATCAAGCGTTTCATTCAAAATAGTCAACAGGGTCGCAAGAAGCGTGTGGACAAACCAAGGCGCAAAATAACTGCCCATGAACTGAGAAAAGTCAAGCGTGCAGCTGCCAAGATGCCACTTGCCACCAGTTTGGCCATATTTCAGAGCTGCAACATCACTGGAGTGCCCAAAAGCACAAGGTGTGTATTGCGTCCATGACTCCTGGTGTGAAAATGATGCTTTGAAGCGAGTAAACCGTTATGTGCCATTTGGTGCTGCTGATGCCTCCAGTGTTAAATAGGGGTAAAAATCTCTGGTTCTTTTCCAGTATGGTCTACACAACATGAACTGAATTTGGATTACATAATTAACACAAATGGTGTTTTGATTATCTTATAATGATTTCAGTTCCTTTTGTATATATGTGCATATACTAATGCTGAGGTTTCTTTTAGGCAGAGTGTCCAATTTGCGAGAAGATGTTTTCAAGTGACCTGCTGGAAATCCATGCAAGCTACTGTGGTGAAAGGTATTCCTGTTTTTATTCAAAACACTATTTTACTGTCAAGTGCTGTGCTTTTTAACTATATCTTTTTTTAATGCAGTAAAATAGTGTGATTTGCAAGCTTGCCCCACAGCAAGATGGTCCTATAGGTTAAAATAATAGTTATGGAGTTTACATGTTGTCCTGTTGCGTGTCTGTTAGAAATGCATTGTACCTTCAGATTTCACATGCAAGACAAGTCTAATGTTATTATGGCCTTAGGGGTATGTATGATTAGTTGTCCTATGTGTCAACCCTGTAGTAGACTGGCTACTGGCATTTAGAAGTTTGTAGAATTAATACAAGGATGTTTTATGAAAGATGTCATTTGTATTTTCACAGAGCCTCTAATGCATCAAATCCAACCACATTGGATGACTCAGAGTTGGTCCCAAAAAGACTGAAAACACATACAGACACAAAAAGGTTATTTTGCACAACATGTCAAGAATATGCTATTTGACTGACACAATTGTTAAAATGTTTCAATTTTAACTCTTTGCTGTGAAACCATCAGCATTGCAGACATCATCAAATGCCTTAATGAAAGAGTTGATGAAACAAGCATCTTCAACATTAGTGTAACAAGGGAAGATATACTGGAAAGGGGGCTGAAACAATGGCAGCGCCAGAAAAAATCATCGCCCCGTCATCCCCTTAGAGTTTCTTTTATTGGGGAGCCTGGAATCGACAGCGGAGCACTGAGGAAGGAATTTTTAACAGGTAGGGTTTTGTTTTATTTTGGGTGGGAGTAGGTAGTCATTTCCTTGAAATCATATCATATGTTATGTTTTCAAATTCTTGTTTGTGATCTCTTTAAATGTGGTGCTCTCTGTTTTTTTTTTTTTTTTATTTACTTAAACAGACATGGTTTCAGGTATTGAGACACGTTTCTTTGAAGGAGGAGAGAGCGGTAAAAACCCCAAGTATTCAATGATTGACGTGGATAAACACAACTTCCAGTTTGTTTTTTAAACTTATTTTCTATCAATTCATTTGTGTTTTTATTATTACTTGTAAATGCTGTCCAATTGTGCAGTTTACCTATACAGGTCCTCCAAAAATTAGCATATTGTGATAAAGTTCATTATTGTAATGTACTGATAAACATTAGACTTTCACATATATTAGATTCATTACACACAACTGAAGTAGTTAAAGCCTTTTATTGTTTCTAACATTGATGATTTTGGCATACAGCTCATTAAAACCTAAAATTACTGTCTCAAAAAATTAGCATATCCAGACAATAATGAACTTTATCACAATATGCTAATTTGGAAGGACCTGTATTACAGACATAAGTTATTCAGATTCTCAATTCAATGTATGTAACACAAATTAATAAAACACAGTAAAATACTTCATTAACTCCACTTGTTGCGCAATTCACAATTGAATTCAGTGTATTTTCTATTTTTATAATTTACAGAGCAATAGGAGAAATATTTGCAGTCAGCATCACACAGGGTGGACCACCACCAAACTTTTTAATGCAGTGGTGCTACAAGTACATGTCAAATGGGGAAATCGACCAGGATGGATTAAATGAAAATGATGTTACTGACCCTGAACTTATGGAACTCATGAAAGAGGTAAGAAATAAAAATGTGAAATACTTCTATGTCTTTAAACCACAAAAATGTCCTTGACCTCAAATGATTTTAAGTTATCTCTGTAAGATTAAAGAAGCAGATGAAACAACACTGATGACCTACACCGACAGGATTTTGTTGTGTGGATACACGGGACCAATAACCATTCAAAAGAAGGAAGACATCCTTCGGTAAAAGTGTCTTAAAAGAGCTTTAATAAAAGACACACTGCATGCAGACTAGGGCTGGGCTGTATGGCCTAAAATCAATATCACTGTATATTAAGGAGCTCACCTTGATAATGATAATTGTGCGATAACATGTATTTGCCAAAAGAAATGCTGTCTACTAGTTGGGGCTGTCACGTTTTCATAAGACTGGAGGTGGTACAGCATGTTAAAGGGACGTTAACATCACCAACCTAAAAACATATTTATATTTTTTTTCTGTATTTTATTACTGAATTTATTGACATGGGAAAGATATTGGCTACAGTAAGATAATTCAATAACAATACTTTATTTGATGCGTTGCCCATTACTAATAAATACAGATGAACACGTGTTTGGGTCAAAGCTCTAAAATATGGATTTATGTTTCAGCTCAACAGTCTTGCATGCCACGATGAGGTTGCTGCCTATGCTTCAGCAGATCTGCTCAGGAATGAAGCTATATGGTCTCCTCAGCCTGGTCCAGCAGGAAAAAGACATCTGCAGGCAACTGTTTGTGCCTGGATCTTTTGGCAAGGTACATTAACCATGTACTTGTAACCGAACCTACACCACATTCTCCCACCCAACCTTGCAGGCATTCTCAGAGTGTGAGGTTGCTAAAGTTTGACCCAACAAAAATCAGGCAGTGATGACTTTGATTTGTTAATTATATAAAATTGCAGCCACTATCATTGCTGCTCCCATTACACACATTTAGAAATTATCCCTACATGCAGCCCAAATAACTCATGCCTGGAAGTCAGCCTTTTTGCATCCTCTTTTAAAGGGTGTGTATCATTCAGATCACAACAGTTATAGGCATATTTGTGATTTGCCATGTCTTTCCAATGCTTTGGAAAAACTTTTAAATGGTCAACACTTATGTGGGAGCAGACAACATTTTATCTGATGTTTAATCATGTTTTAGACCTTGTTATGGCTGTTCAACTGCAACCCTCAAAGTCCTAAATGACATTTCTTCTTTTGACTCAAAGTTGCATTGTGTAGCTATTTCTATCAATTTTGCAACAGCGTTTCACACAGTGAATCACAAATTTCTTATTGATCGGCTTTGATATATTGTCATTGCTGATATTTCTTTATCTTTGTTCGCAAATTATTTTATAGACAGACAGCAGTTTGTGAAGTCATAACAACTCCACACAGGTCAATACTTGGTCCCACCCTTTTCTCCATTCACATAAATAATGTAGCAAAGTATGTTGTGGATTCATGTGTTCATCTCTATGCTGACAATGACAAAACAGTCCTCTACTCCGTTGGGCCGCTCTTTCTATAGTTTACTGACAACTACAGCTCAGTTTCAATAGTACAGGTGCTGGCCAGTAAATTAGAATATCATCAAAAGGTTGAAAATATTTCAGTAATTCCATTCAAAACGTGAAACATGTACATTATATTCATGCAATGCACACAGACCAATGTATTTCCAATGTTCATTACATTTAAATTTGATATTCATAAGTGACAACTAATGAAAACTCCAAATTTGGTATCTCAAAAAATTAGAATATTCTGAAAAGGCTGAATATAGAAGACACCTGCTGCCACTCTAATCAGCTGATTTACTCAAAACACCTGCAAAGGCCTTTAAAAGGTCCCTCAGTCTTGTTTTGAAGGCACCACAATCATGGGGAAGACTTCTGACTTAACAGCTGTCCAAAAGACAATCATTGACACCTTGCACAAGGAGGGCAAGACACAAAAGGTGATTGCTAAAGAAGCTGGCTGTTCGCAGAGCTCTGTGTCCAAGCACATTAACAGACAGGCGAAGGGACGGAAAAAATGTGGTAGAAAAAAGTGTACAAGCTCTAGGGATAACCGCACCCTGCAGAGAATTGTGACGACAAACCCATTCAAAAATGTGGGGGAGATCCACAAAGAGTGGACTGCAGCTGGAGTCAGCGCTTCAAGAACCACCACGAGGAGACTCATGAAAGACATGGGATTCAGGTGTCGCATTCCGTGTGTCAAGCCACTCTTGAACAAGAAACAGCGCAAGAAGCGTCTCGCCTGGGCCAAGGACAAAAAGGACTGGACTGATGCTGAGTGGTCCAAAGTTATGTTTTCTGATGAAAGCAAGTTCTGCATTTCCTTTGGAAATCAAGGACCCAGAGTCTGGAGGAAGAGCGGAGAAGCACAGAATCCACGTTGCATGAGGTCCAGTGTAAAGTTTCCACCGTCAGTGATGGTGTGGGGTGCCATGTCATCTGCCGGTGTTGGCCCACTCTGTTTCCTGAGGTCCAGGGTCAATGCAGCCGTCTACCAGGAAGTTTTAGAGCACTTCATGCTTCCTGCTGCTGACCAACTTTATGGGGATGCAGACTTCACCTTTCAACAGGACTTGGCACCTGCACACAGTGCCAAAACCACCAGCACCTGGTTCAAGGACCATGGTATCCCTGTCCTTGATTGGCCAGCAAACTCGCCTGACCTTAACCCCATAGAAAATCTATGGGGTATTGTGAAGCGGAGGATGCAATACGCTAGACCCAACAATGCAGAGGAGCTGAAGACGACTATCAGAGCAGCCTGGGCTCTCATAACACCTGAGCAGTGCCACAGACTGATCGAGTCCATGCCACGCCGCATTACTGCAGTTATTGAGGCAAAAGGAGCCCCGACTAAGTATTGAGTGCTATACATGCACATTCTTTTCATGTTCATTCTTTTCAGTTGGCCAACATTAGAGAAACAAACATTTTTTCATTGGCCTTTAGAATATTCTAATTTTCTGAGATACCAGATTTGATGTTTTCATTGGTTGTCACCTATAAATATCAAATTTAAATGTAATAAACATCGGAAATACATTGGTCTGTGTGCATTGCATGAATATAATGTACAAGTTTCACGTTTTGAATGGAATTACTGAAATATTTTCAACCTTTTGATGATATTCTAATTTACTGGCCAGCACCTGTATACAAATTGCCTTTTCCAGTTTGCAACTTCAGTTAAACAAATCTAAAACTACAGCCATGTGGTATAGGGAATAAGGTGATATGCCATCTAATTAAACCAAACACCTCTGTGGATGGAACATCTGTAGAACAGGTTACTGAATAGAAATATCTGTTCATCTGGCTAGACAGTACTCTGTCTTTTTCAAAACATATCAACAATATACAGACTTAAGATTAAATCAAAACTTGGCTTCCTCTACAGAAGGTGTTCCTCATTCACTTCATCTGCAAGGAAAACATTGGTGCAATTCACTGTTCTACCAAAGTCTGATTATGGTGATGTCATTTGTAGATCATCACACAGAGGTTTAAAGCGAGTGTCAAGGCATGGGTGGAGACGTATTTCATCCACACTTCCTGTTAGGGAAACACTTCTGATATAGGCGTGTCTCTCAGGAGAACAGCATACACAGATTCTGCAGCATTCTGGAGGATTTCCTGTTAACCACAATCATTAGATGAGAAGGGGAGGAGGGCTTTATTTCACATAGGTAAGCAGCTCAGAGCGCTAACGTGTCATATCAGCAGGTAAGTAGCTGAGCCAGGTGGAGGTGTGGCTGCCTCACCAGGAGACCAGGGCGGTTCTGCCACATAGTAATTTGCTGATAACGTCACGTTTTTCATCTTAGCCATCAGCCACAGCTGGTTCCACATAAATGTGGAGCATAGTTTTAACCAAAAGATTGAGATATAATTATGGTTTTGGGATTAAATATTACATTTAGAATAAGTTATATTTAAGTGTCACACTAATGATTACACATGTGTACAGCACCATTAGACCCTCATGTATACAGGTTTTCAGCAAAACAAGTTAATTTAGGCATTACTTGCTCTTTAAGCTCGATGTTCTTTACCACACTGCCCAACGGTTTGTTACAGACGCTCTTTGTAAAACTCAATACTGTATTCTGTATTATCTTAACTGGTCATCATTGTACACATGTTGCTAAATACACTGTTTCATGTTCATTTTACCCTCCCACTGTCCTAATGGATGTGGCCCCTTGAGGAAAGTTGACCATTGACCAGGGTTGGTTTATCCCTTCAGGTCCATGTGGCAAAGGTGATGTGGTGCTCACTTGTCCCCCTTGCCACATGGACCTCAACGTATAAACCATCAGCCCTACTCAATGGTCAACTTTCCTTGCTGGGTCACATCTATTAGGACAGTGGGAGGGTTAAAAACTGTCCTTGGTTTGTCTCCTCCTTATTTGCAACATTTTTAATCTCCGGCTTACAATACTCTATCTGCAAACCTTATTTTGACAGTTCCTAAAACAGCTTATGCATTTGGCTCATTGTCCATTCAGACTGCAGCTGCTAGAGACTGGAACGACCTACAATAAACCCAAAAAATGGTCTTGTTTATCTCAAAGGCAGCTTTCAGAACTGTGATCACGGAGCATTTTCAAGGAACCTGCTGTTGTCACTTACACTGACTTATATTTATTTAGATCTTATATCTAATAGAGTTGATGTGGTGCACTTATTTTTTCTTATTAATGCAATTTAAAACTATTACATGATACCGTCTTTTTTGCCACTCATAAGGCACTGTCTTTTGCCAGGCCTCAGTTGTAAATAAGAAGTCTGTTCTTAAACTGTGTTTTCCTGTTTACATAAAGGTTAAATAATAAATAAATGTAATGTACTATAGATTTATAATACCAACAGAATACATTTTAATTTTACTATTGTTTGCATAATTAAGGTGGATGCTGACTTTCTAGTCCAGTCACTGTCACCCGTCTTCAGTGAAAGTGGAACAATGAAGCGTCAAAGGGAGAACAGAATAGTCAACTTTCTTCAGGACTTTGTTCAGGACATGGATGATCAGGGTAAGTAATGTATCCAGATTAACACTGTCATACATTTCTAAGTTTGTCTGAGAAATAGAGCAATGTTGTTGATTATTTAATTTTTTCAGAAGACACAACAGGAGGTGAGCAGTCTGAAGAGTTCAAAATGGATGCAAACCCGGAGAGAACAGAAGGGAACTTCAACAGTCAGTGGCTTAATGTTGGCAAATTTTGCCAGTGGCTGACTGGACAGCGTCACATCCCATTGAGTCCTACTGAGCGTGGGACATTCAAAATAGTCATGGAATTTGACCACGACTGCAGTGCACGTTTTGGAAAACATAGCATTTGCTACCCTGTGGTTAATGCATGTTCTTGTTCTATCACATTCCCAGTGTCACATTTAACCACGTACTTGGAATTCAAAACTGTCATTTCACAGGCTATTATCCATGGAAATGAATTTGGACGACACTAAGAACTGAATACAGCACAGCAAAGAATCAAAAATGTGTTACCTAATTATACTAGTTCATGTTTTCTGCATGCAGTTTTTTCATTTTTAGTTACATAAATGTTCAGTTTTTACCATAAATGTTGAGTTTCACAAATTATTCACACATGAGGGATTGTTATGTACTTTATCTGTACATTGTATGATACAGGAAGCTGTACAGTAAAAAACAATGTTTTGTTTCAGACAATGTTGTATGTCACAATCATTAAGCAAATGTTTGCTGTTAAACATGTTAACCAAATATAATGATTTATGTAGTAAAATTTAAAAGTAGGACTGCAAAAAGCCAACAATGCTGGGAATTACATGTGTAAAAGTCATTTTACTAACCCAGCACCAGCATCATTACTAAGAGTGTGAGCGCAGTTGTCTCATATGTTCATGGCAGGTAAGATACAGCTGTTCATCTGTAACATTTGTGTTGGTTGGATCTACCACAGTCTGTAGGTGATTAATTTCTTCTTCTGTAAAAGGGCTGTCATATTCAGGAACTACAACGCCAGTTTCAGGGTCAAGGCCATTGTAATCAACTGCAGTCTCCCAGTCAATTTCCGGTTCGTCAAGGTCCTGTAAATTTAAGAACAGTAAAAATACTTTTCCGTAAGTACATGTTATGTATGTACATGTACAAAACATAACGGAAAAAAAGTGAAAAAAATAAGTTGTAAAGTCATAATGATCATCCAAACCTATTCAATTAAATACATTAAAATCATCAAACTGTCATGACAAGTCTAAAACCAATGACAGATTATAAATGTATCTTGAAAGAATATTAAAAAATTAGGTATGTTAAAGCAGCTTTAAATGAAAGGGTCTTCAGCTGCATTTTAAAGGTATGCGAGCATGCTGGTAAACACAAAGAAAAAGCAAGTTAATTTCAAAGCCGGAGGGAAATAGCTTGTAAATACTGATCACCTGCGTGAACTTCTATATCTGGCATTGGGAAATTCTAGAAGGTTCTGGTTTTTAGAACTGAGGGCTCAGGTGTAAGCATAAGGCTTATATATTTTTATTAATGTTGACATACATTCATCCACATAAATTAATTGAGATTTAGCTTTAGAAGATATTTGGATTTTACTAAATGTCATTCATGGACTTTTGTCAGAAAAAATTGCAGATGTTTCCCTGTTTTGATAAATGTCTAATATCTGGTAACATTGAACACTGCACCGTAAGTGCAACCTCTGCATCTTTTGTCCATTTATAGTTTATTAAATAACATGTAGCAGTGTGTCCTACATACTCTACAAAAATGTAGATACATAGGAGTCAGATGTAGTATTTTTGTTTTTGGGGGGACCTTTACCAGATAAAATGTAATTGACATCAACAATGTATGAGGAACATATGTAATACTTCTATGCACGTATTGGCTGTTAAAATTCCTTAAAGTGCCTTTATCTTTATCAAGAAAATATAAAAAAAAAGATTGTCTGGTCTCTACTACTTACCTAGTTAGAGGAAAACGTCAAGCAAAAAAAAAAATCACCTCAAGATGTTCATTTTGGACATTGCTGGTAATCAACTGGCCAATCCCCCAAATCTGTGTTGGACTTCTGTTTCTCTCGGTACGAATTGGATGGTGGTTCCAACCTTCAACAAAAACTTGAAGATCTCTCTGGAGTCTTGGCAGTATTGCGAAGTGCACGCAGAAAATGTCCTCTGTGCAAGAGATGTCCAGCAAACTGTCCTCCTCAAGACTGTGCAGAATGTCGTAGTACTTTGAGGAAACAGAGATCCAAACATCGCGCCATAATCGTTCGATCCTGTACAGAACACATACAATCTGTCATCCATCATAGTAAATATAAAATGCATCAGTACCTAAAGTTATTAGTTATATTTTATATGCAACACCTAATTATGCAAATTGGTGACAACCACTGATAATACTTGAGTATGAGGAGCTGTGTAAGCTTTAATAAATTTTGTTACTCTCACATGTATATATTGTTCTCTAACATACCAACACACACTTTACAAAATCAGTAAGAAGAGGATTGTGTGTGTATGGGAGAGGTCCAGAGGTCCTGAGATTATACATTTATTGTTCTTATGCAGATCGCACATCATAATTTGTCTACGTTAATTTTAACATGACAATGGCACAAACTTAGCAAAGTGAGACGTAAGGACTGGCGTTTGAGGTGTGTGCACCGAGACTAACCTGTCGCTGATGTGCCTGGGCATATCATGGGCGTTCACAAGGATACAAGCTTTTCTGTGCTTGTTCCCTAGCAACACATCGGCCCAAGTACAAAAAGGATGGACAGAGGGATTCAACCAGCAAGTTTTTGTCTGATGGTAAATGACATAGGCTTATCCCAAGAGATAGTAAAATGATGTGTAAGAGGCATTATTGTGGCCAAAATGTTTGTCAACTGTAATTAGATTTGATATAAAGGTGTCATGTCCAAGATTATTCATACCCTTCAATGACCATAAGTCTCTGGGAAAATCAAGATCATTCCACATAATCCAAGCTATTCTGAAGCATCTTAATTACACAGATTAATTGGGAACAAGCTGTTTTAATCAACTCCCCAGGTTAAAAACTGGGGAAAGAACTGAAACTTCTGAAAGAAGTTTATTTTAAATATTATGCCTATTGTACATTGTCTTATTAGATGCTTTGAGCTATTTTTGTGTTCGTCAAAGAAAAATTTGATGTTTCAATAAAAGTTACTTGTTAAGTCCAAATTTTCCAAGATATGGGCAGCACTGTATGTGTGTGTGTGTGCATAGAATATGTGTGTATGAGTATGCAATGTGTGTATGTATGACAATAATGGATGCGTATCTGAGGAGAATATCTGCATGTGACAGTAACCGAATGTATTATGGCTTACACAGGTCCTCATACCTCTGTGAGATCACTTGAATATAAAGCTTGATTATTGTAAATTCAAAATGTCACAAGATAAATATTTTTTAAAGAAAAAAATTGTTTTGGATTACTGCAAAATCTTACAGGAAAAGAGAAATAAATAAAGGGTATTCAACCAAATTAAATAAGTTATGTATTAAAATAAAATAAATAAATGTACCTTTGGTTGTGTACACTTTTACCAGAGATAAAGCTGCCTCTGTCAGTGCCGCGGATGGAGAACATGAACCGAGCAATGTCCACATTCTCCACTCCCTGGTCTGCTCTTACTCTAAATTCACAGCATTATGGAATATGCAAAATATTAGATATTAACATTGTTATAAATTACCCTACGATCTCATTAAATCAGCATTACACGAATGCATTGTGCTTAAAATTGACCTAAGGAAATAATCATTTGCAGACTGACATCAAAAATTACTTTTAAAGAAACAAATGTTACCTTGAGGGTAAACCATGTTGTCTTATTGCCTCCATAAAGAACTCAAAGGCTGTGGATGCACGGTTGTTAGTTGCTGCATTCAGGTACAAAATCTGAAAATACAAAGTAAGTTTTATGTGGCAATTTGCTATCCTCTACATTTCTGATCAAGTGTAACATAGGACAATAGAAAAAATTTGCTGATAAAATTAATGAGCTTCTTTCTTTCTTAAAGCTTCTTTCCGGAGTATTTCTCTTATCTGATGGCACCATCTAGTGGCTAGCAAGCATATCACACAAATAAATGTGCTTGTTAGCCGACAAATGGAGCTAAAACACACTGTTTAACGAGTTTTATTCTGCTGTCATGTTGGGTTTTCATATATTTATATTTTATAGACTTACTTGTCCGTGAAAAGTTCATCAACTCTGCATCTGACGAGGTATTCCTTCAATTTGAAGCAAGTAAGCGGTAGTCTAATGCTATTGGTTATTTCTTGTCGACGCTTAGTTTCCAATTAAATGGAGCTCTGTGGGGCAGGGGATGGGCTTAGCAAAGTAAAAAAATAAATAATAAATACATATTGCTTACTTTATCTTATCATGTACTGTGATATAATCACTTTTACGGATTTCTGAAAAATCATACATGATTTCTGAAAGGGGAAAACTCCAGAAAACAGCTTTAAATCACCTTTTTGAATATAATGAAAGACATGACGTGCTGACTGCAGTGTAAAAAAAAGCTTTTATCAGATTCACCACTAAACCACAATTTATAGTGCCAGATACATAATAATAATTATAGTAATAATTATAATAAAATAGTAATGTAATAATATCAATTACTATTATAATAAATATTATTGTTATTATAATAATAATAATTATTATTATAATAACAATTCATTTTGTTTAAAGTGCCTTTCAGGGAACTCAAGTTCATTGTGTAACAATATAATAAAAGTCGCAAAAACAGCAAGACAAAAAATATTAAAACCACTCAGATAACCAACCCCTGTAACCACAGTCTTGAGTTTTTATTTTAGATGCGAAGATGTGGAGTGAGTAATTCAAAACAACAATAAATACCTTTCTGGAGAAACCATCCACTCCTCCAAAGATCACTATGTTGTACCTGTGCAGACATTAAGCAAACCATCATAGCCAATACCTTCTACAGTAATTAAAAGCAATTTGGTAACTTTTTCTTATAAAGTGTGTTAGATTTTAAGTTTTAACAATTTCAAGTTATCATTTTTTAAGAAATTTGATCAACAAGACGATAAAATTCGTTAATACCAATCTTAATTGGATTTATATAGTGTATTGCAAGGAACTCAAAGCACTTAACATTAACTCACTCACATTCACACAATACCCTTAAGGATAAGCCACTATATAGCTACAGCCGCCCTGGGGTGGTCTGACAAGAGGCGAGCCGGCCATTTTGTGACATTGGCCCCTATGACCACCAATACAGGCCAGTTGGTTGAAGTGTCTAGCCCAAGTACACTACAGCATGATACCGTTGCAGGACCTTGCAGTCATTCTATCATGAGACTACCCGCTCTACCAACTGAGACATTGCTACCCCACTTAATTTAATTTTTTTTAAATTTTGAAATATCCAGCCTTTATGTC